TCGCTTCCACATATGAAAGAGAGTTGTATGCTCTCCGGGAAGCTCTCGATTATTGGCACTTCTATCTCCTAGGACGCCACTTCAAAGTGTACTTAGATCATGAGACACTTTGCTGGCTGAAAACACAGGCTCGAATGACACCTAAACTGACGAGGTGGGCTGTGGAAATCGACCAATATGATTTTGCACTTAAGCCAGTAAAGGGGAAGTTACAATGTTGTTGCCGACGCTTTAAGTCGAAGATCTGACTTTTTCGGTGCGCTATTGTAACACATTTAGATGTAGCTATCGACATACAAGATAAGATTAAGAATGCATATTCCACTGGTCCTGTTTATGGCGCAATGCTTAAGCGTATTCAAGAAGCGCCACAAGAGTTTCCTAACTATCGGGTAGCACAAGGACTGTTGTTTGAAAGAACACAAGTGCATGATAGGCTTTGTATTCCAGACATCGAAGAGATTAAAAGTATAATCTTGGGGGAGTGCCATGATACAGAAGGCCATTTCGGGTGGAGGAAGACCTATGCTAATCTTCTACGTTCCTCCACCTGGCCTCGAATGAAACCTCATTGCATCGCATACGTGCAAGGTTGTCAAGTGTGTCACCGAAACAAGAGCACCATGCAACCCTCCCCTCGGTCTCCATAAGCCTTTGCCCATTCCAACAGGTCCAGAAGACTCTATGTCCATCGATTTTATGGACACAAAGGTGAAAAGCAAGAACGGGAAAACCCAAGTTATGGTGATTGTTGACAGATTTAGTAAATTTGTTGTCTTTGTGGCATTACCTCCGGAAGCTAGAACTGACTTGGTTATTCGGGAATTCTTTAATCACTAGGTGAAAGATTATGGGCATCCCTTGACTATAGTCAGTGACAGAGACTCACGATTCACAAGTGAACAATGGGAGCAACTGATGAATGTTTATAGCTCTAAATTGACGATGTCGTCAGGGCGGCATCCTGAGACGAATGGGCAAACTGAGCAAACGAACAAGATTCTGCAGCAGACACTGCATATGTACATTTGTCCTGACCAGATTGAATGGGATGAGAATTTGCCCAAAGTTGCTAATGCCTATAACTCTGTACACTTATCTACCTTCAGAACTCCGACGGAGTTGCATCTGGGATGGCATCCTATTGAGATTCCTCTACACCTACGTACGTACCCGGTGTTTCATGCATCAAAGCTCTTACCGTATGTAACTAAAGAACTTTTTCCCAATCGAAGGTCAGCAATTCCTCCGAGTATGGATGGAAAATTTGATGTTGATAAGATTGTTGCTGAAAGTACTATTCAGACTGGACGTAGAGGTAGACCTCAGCGGCAATATAAAGTCAGATTTGCCTATCAAGATTCAAATGAAGACTGGTGGTTCAATAGGGAAGAGCTAATTGAATCAGCACGACACATTGTATCTGCTTATGAAAGAGCGAGAAGAGGAATTAATATTGTGGATAGGTAACAACTTTCTCAGAGGAGTTCGAAATTAGGCCGGCGAGAGTAAAAGAGCCTTTACGAGTCGGACCCCAAATGGATGCCCCAATAGCGAAGGGTCCTGTCGGCCAGAACTTAAATTCACGAGCAGCAACTCAAAAGACAAAGTTCCTGAGGTAAATGTCACATCCATAATGGAGTGAAAAGTCATTTTGAAAGGTCACAAACAGGTCCTGAACGAACAGGTATTGGACACAATTTTCAAGACTGAGCTAGGGTCATGTCTCCTCGATGAAAAGACATGTCTGTTCGGCAATGAGTCAAAGGCTACAGTCCCAGTCCAATCATGATCCCACAAGTCAGTCCTAATTCAAAACAGGAGTCCAAAAGACAGGCCTGATGGCCCAAAGCAGCAGCAAACCATTGGAAAAAATACTGGGACACGCACTTTGCAACAACGGGTACTGGGCAGGAGTCCCAAAGGACTCGTCAGCCTCCCATTTAGACAAATGCTCACTTCACATGAGAGTGTGGAAGTGTTGTTGCACTTGTGCGCTAGATGTGTGTGAGCTGCGCTAGGCTGAGAGAGAAGGAAGGGAGAGTGTTGGCTAGAGGGAAGGCAGCCATAGCTGCGCCAGCAGCAGTTAGCACGTTAGTAGACGTAGTCAGTAGGAGACACCAGTGGGTAGTATTCAGAGTAGATCCTCGTGTGATAGGGAGTGTGTATGCATGATGAGTGAGGGTAGACCAGGACTACAGGCATAGAGGGAGAGAGAGAAGAAGGCAGATGAGAGAGGGGGAGGTGTGAGCTATGGTGACACTTACCTGTTGAGCGCTGTTGTTGACATTTGGCAGCTGGCGCTGATGAGCGCCAGGCTTGGAACTTATGTTGCACGAAGAAGACTTGTAATCTCTGTTCAGCGCTATATACTTTGAACTCACGATGTTCTCTCTCTAATTCTGGGTTTGATAATTGAGTCGATCTTCCTGGTTCTCATTCATCTTCTATTTTTGTTATGTGTGAGACTTCGCAAACTGTGAAATCAGTGCAAATACATGTGATTTGATGCACTCCAGCAAGTGATGAACAGTCGGGTTCCTTGCAGGAGGGACAGGGACGGCTATCAAGATGTATTTGTGAGAGGGTGTTCTTCGAACCTCTGGAGTTTGGGTGGGAGGGAGGGGGGTTAGGATCATAAAAGGGTAGGTTTTAGTGGGACCCCCGCATATGCAGGAAAGGTCAGGTGGAGTATGGTGTGTGTGTAGTGGTTTTTAGTGCTTTGGCAATGCGGAGTGGTCGGACCCAAGGTTGGTATGACGCAATCGGGGGTAATGTTGTTTGTTTTTGTTCGCGATCGAGGGTGGGATGGGGTCGGGTGTGACGGAAGAAAACAGGTCACGGACGTTGGTAACGTGGCTGCAGGTTGGTGGTTGGGGGGGGAGCGGTTATGTGGGGGTTATTGGGGACAGTTGTGGTTGGAAAAATATCAATGGGGTGTGCTCGGGGGGAGGGGTTGGCGATCTTTATGTCGGGTGTATTGTGGTTTGTTCGTGTGCGTGAAACGGAAATGGAGCCGAAGCATGAGAAAGTGGGTGTATCGGCGGGGGAAAGGTTTGATTGGTTGATCAAGGGGCGGTGGTGAGGTAGGTTGGTGGGGTAGGTTGACGATATCAATGGGGGGTATTAGAGGACGAGTTGGTCGGGGATGTAGGAGAAAGCGATGAGGTGGGAGGGGGTGGTGGTTGACGTGTGGATGATCAAGGGTTTCGGTAGAGGGAGGGATCGTGGGGGTACAAATGTACGTGGTTAGTGGTGTGAGGAACGAGCCCTCACGGGGCCCTATCAGACATCACATGTTCTGGGCAGAGGCCCCAGCAAGCCGAGTGCCCGCCCTAAGTGAAGGCGGGCCTGAATATTCATCAGAAGCCAAAATTCGACATTTTCATATGTGGGTATTCAGGCTCTTGTGTTATGATTCTGGTTGTTCGTTGTCTGAAGACCAACACTCACTCACATAGACTTCCAGGTATGCCCATACATAAGGGGAGAGGATAGGAGTATCACACCGCACAGGGAGAGATAAACACAGCGGAAGACTTGACCGAAAGTGCAATTCACTCCACTCAATCCTCACAACCAGTCATAAAGAAAAGCCAAGTAGATCACATCCAAGAAATAATGAAACTATGATAGTCCAAACCACTATTTCACTGTTTATTAAACTTAACAGTCTCGAATTATCAGGATAACCTGAGTACTACAGCGCGCTGCTAAAAAATGAGCAGTGCTTCACTCCCCAACCCTGAATAACCACTCGTTACACCCTTGAGCCCTTGAAACATAAAGTGCCACCCAAATACAGCCTCCGAAGGGAAGCGCCACCCTGAAACAGGCCTCTCAGGCCAAGCGCCACTCAGAAGATGAAGAAGAAGACCAGCGCCACAGTATCTGAAGATGACGAAGTGTCGAAAGACTTCCCGGATGGAAGTCTCAAGCAGCGCCACCAACTCCTGACAAGATGACCTCTCCCCAACCCTGAGTAACCACTCGTGACACCCCTGAGCCCCTGAAACATCAAGCGCCACCCAGATATAGCCTCCGAAGGGAAGCGCCACCCTGAAACACGCCTTTGAGGCCAAGCGCCACTCAGAGGATGAAGAAGAAGACTAGCACCACAGTATCTAATGATGACGAAGTGTCAGAAGACTTCCCGGATGGAAGTCTCCAGCAGCGCCACCAACTCCTGACAAGATGACCTCTAAAGAAGAAGCTGCAGCTATGGCTGCAGCGCCACAACCCTGGAACCCCACTCCGGAGGAGGGTCCAGCAGGGCACCAACTTCCCTAGCCTCCAGCAGACCTCGATAACCCAGACCTCTGACAGCCCCTACGTGCTGGCAGAGTACAGCGCAGGTCCCAGCTATGGCCGGCGCTCCGGAGGTCTGGCTATGCCTGTCTCCTTCCACGCTGAGCCGTCACCACTTCCGGTTCACGCGTAGAGCAACAACGACGTACTCGGTACCTACTGCCAAAAGCCCTGAACCGGTGTGCCCATCCTATCTATAGACTAGAACTAGCCTAGACTCGACCTAGACCGGACTGACTGACTGGCCAATACCGATTCAGTTTCGGCCTCTTGGCCTCTACCTTAGCCGGCTATAGGCTATAAGACCGTCTATCAGCATAGGCCTTTAGGGCCTGTTTGTCCTAAGGGTAGCCCGGGCCTGCTATTCGCAGTTAGGGTAGCAGTAGGAAATTCGATTAGGGCTGGGCCTGTATTTTCCCAAATTTGCAGGTATGTCCCTCACGAATTTCCACTACAGGTACGTCTCTCGGTTAGCCCTCAGCCAAACAAAATTACGAATCTACCCTACCTATGGTACAGCCTCGACAGAGAGAGGCTACAAGCGACCAGAAACAGCAAGTCGTTACACTTGCAGCACGTCAGTTGGTTGAGTGGATGCATGAGCCTCACTAAGCTGCATCGTTGGCCCATGTCTTGACAGTTGCGCCTGGGCACATACACACAAAGCAGGGCCGATACATCAGGAAGCGGCCAGCGGCTTATGCATAAGCAGTATTGTTGACGCACCTACCCCGGGGCCCTGCACAAAAGCAGCAAACAGCCCAAGTCCGGAGACTCGGGTCGTGCCCAACTGTAAAGGGCCCAGGCCCTTAACTGTAGCCTCGGGCCTGGGCACAAGGACTGAGGCCCAACCGGAAGCTACTGGAAGCTTCCAGCCAGGCCACACGCAGCATCCAGGAGGCTGCCACTTCCATATAGGAAGTGAGGCAGCCCAAGCCAGGCATTCTGGCCTGCGTAGGCAATGCAAGAGTGCTGCTGCGCTACTGCTTGATGCCGCTCTGCGGCCAAGGGCGCTAACAGGGGGCGTAGAGGTGAGGTGGGGCGCTGCAAGGCAGCGGGGCACGGGCAGCCATAGCCGGGCTGCTGGGCGCCAAGGGGAAAGAGGGCGATCCGGTGGCCTTCAGGGAAGGAGGCGAGTGTGGGTTCTCAAGGTCTAATGAGGGTGACGAGATTAGTATCTGGTGCATGAAGAGAGGTCGACTATGGTGTTGACATCATGTACATTGGTTTTCGAGAGTCGAAGTGACCCTGTTGTGTGAACACAACTGTAGGTAGGATAGTCGAGTAGAGCAGGCTGGGCGTTGGGCGCCAGACAGAGAGGAGCGACTTTGGATATTGTGTTGGTGTGGCCTACGGGCTTGGACATTGGCTCATTACTTCATTGTATTGCTCTATTTGGATGGATTCTCAGGGCAATTGTGCTCTCTGCTTGTACACGACTACTCAGACATCTGTTTGATTTCGCAAATTGGTTTTCTGTATATCGTTCACACTCATATTACTTGCAGTGGTTAGATTTGAGAAACAGAAAAAAAAAAAAAGGGGGGGTGGTAGGGGGAGAAGCTTGTCAGGATGGTTGAAGACTTACCGTTGCTTCCCTTGGATTATGCTGGAGTTTTCCACGCGGTGGCTCCTCGAGGTACTCAGTGGGGTTGGATTGTGTCGTTGTCCATTGCTTGACTTCAACAAGGATGGTGCCTGAGTCCTTTGTCGGCTGTTGACGATGCTGCTGCGCCGCTCTCGAGCTGGCGGCCGATTCTGACTTGACGGATGTTTCACCCCCTTGTTAAGGGTGATGGCAGCGCTCTAGCTTGTTGTTGATTCGAGGTGTTGCAGGCCTTCGGTCCGGCGGCTTAATCAGATGTCCTTCCATGCCCCTCTTGGGCTGTTGCCAATCTTGGTGGATCCAGGCGGAATGTCCGGTGTATTGGAAAGCTTGATGTCGAGGATCGTGGGGCGCAATCGAACGACCTCTTGGCTATGCTATAAGGTCGTGAGGCGATGAGTTCGGGCTTGTTGTTGTCGTCGATGGAGGCGAGCTTGTGAGGAAGCTCCGGGTAAGCGTGCGCACGGAGGCGCCAGGGGTGCGAGCCCCACTCACTGTTGGCGATGGAGGTTCATCGTGTTAGGATTCGAATTCGAAGGTGCAGTATGTGTGGCGGTCGGGCGCGAAAGATCGTGTGGGTGGGAGCCGACCGACCGGCTGCTCGACGTTGGTTTCCTGCACGCGAGGTGCGGTTGCTAGCGCAAAATAGCGCTGCGAACACCTCGAATCAACAACAAGCTACAGCGCTGCGCAAAAACATTTCTCGCTTTGATTTTTGGTTACTTGTTGGAGTTTCTAAACTGCGCATATCTGGACTTTGCATCTCTGGATTCCAGTGTGGATTTTGTGTGATCTCTCAATGTGTGTGTGTGCTCAAGGTGTCGAGCAGTGAGGCTCAATGAAGCTCCATTCTTTGTCCGCTTACCAAGAACATGCCTGACATCAGAGGGGGCGATGGTTCGGGAGTGAGAGCTCCAATACTATCTCTGGCTCAGTTGCTCCATGTGGTCCGTTGTTGGGTGAGTATTTTTATGATCCATTATATTAACAAAGCCCTGTTTTCCTGTTCTCGATCTATGATACCCATTCCCCCCGATGTTGGCTGCCTTCTGATGTAATGCAAGGCTATCTCAGGGATGATTGTTCAATTAATGGGATCCCCTGACTAGAGGTATGCTCATCCTTTCTTGTTGAGCTCGGAGATAGTACGGTCAGGTACAGTCCAGATGGACACTATGTACAATATCAGTGAAATATGGAGGTGTTGATGATTAGTGCTCTTCCCCAGCACGGAGGTGATGTTTTTGGTTCGTAAACTCTGTGCCATTAGGGGGGCTTGACCATCTTTGTTCACCCTTATTCTCAGGTATCTGGTAAGGGATTCCGGTTTTCGCATGCAAGCTGACTCTCTGGGCCTAGGGATTTGGGAGGTGCCTCATCCACGAGCTCCAATTGTTTTACCCCTGTTCACCTTCATACCAGACGCCAGTCTAAATGCTTCCATCGGCCTCACCAAAGGTTTGAAAGTGCAGTCCGAAGCTCAGAGGGTTGAATGTTGTCACTGTTAAGAATGTCGAACCTCTACCACCAATTAACTACTTGCTAGACCAGTTGCAGGGTTGTAAGTTTTTTAGTAAGATTGATCTGAAGTCAAGGTACCGTCAGATCGAGGTGGAACCCACGGATCAACATAAGACCGCATTACGAACTAGGTATGGCCATACGAGTTTGTGGTAATGCCCTTGTGGTAATGCCCTTCGGACTGACTAATGCCCCAACGACCTTCCAAAGGTCTATGAATGAACTTTTTCGTCAGTGGTTAGACAAGTTCGTGATTGTCTATCTCGATTATATTCTAGCGTACAGCAAGACACTATTAGATCATGAGAAGCACCTTCGTCTGGTGCTAGAGAAGTTGCGAGAGGGCAACTTCAAGATCAATTCCAAAGTCTGAAGTGTTATACTTAGGACACATAGTGAACGAAGAAGGTCTAAGGCCGGAAGAGAAAAAAAATTCAGCAATTAGAGATTGGCCACAACCTAAGTCTATAACTAAATTGAGATCTTTCCTTGGTTTAGTCAGTTACTACAGGAAGTTTGTCAAGAACTTCTCACCGATTGTTGCACCAATGAGAAGATTGTTAAAGAAAGGAACTATTTGGTTGTGGGATAAGGATTGTGAGTCTTCCTTTCGAAAATTGAAGTATGCACTAACTCACTACCCTGTCCTTAAGATTGCTGACCCATCCTTGCCTTTCATTGTTACCACTGACGCAAGTCAGTATGGGATGGCATTGTTCTCCAACAGGATGATAGCAAGGGTTATAGGCCCATAGAGTTTGTCTAAACGATTGTCGTCATAGAAGGTTGCTAACTCCACATATGGATACCTGGAGACACTACCTGCTAGGGAGACACTTTACTGTGTATTCAGACCACTCGACACAACAGTGGATAAAGATACAATCTAGACTCTCTGACAAGTTGGTAAGATGGTCTGCCTTCATTGACACCTTTGAATTTGAGCTCAAAACTATCAAAGGTATGTCTAATGTGGTTGCAGATGCTTTATCCCGACGCAGTGACTTCTTTGGTACAATTGTCTCATACTTGGATGTTGGGAATGACTTAAAAGAGCAGATTCGCCAAGGATACGCTATTGATCCAATTTGGAAGCCAATCATCGATGTCCTTGCACGAGATCCTTCCCAATTACCCAACTATAGAATAGCCGATGGTTTGCTTTTCTTGATAAACCAAACAGAACAAAGATTGTGTATTCCTCACCAAGAAAGAATTAAGAATCTTCTGATTGGGGAATATCACGACTTTGAAGGACACTTTGGATTCAAGAAAAACTTACACAGAGGTTAAAGAACGCTTCGAATGGAAGGGAAACACGGGTTAGAGAACGCTTCGAATGGAAGGGATTAAAAGAAGACGTACTAACTTATGTACGTACCTGTCTGGTGTGTCAAAGAAACAAGCCGACGCATGAGAATCCTCTTGGACTTCTCCGGCCATTACCTATACCAAGCGAACCAAGTAAATCCATCTCAATTGACTTTATCAGTCTGGTTAAAAGTCGCAACGGTAATAGTCAAGTGATGGTGATTGTGGATCGTTTCTCTAAATATGCCATGTTTATTCCCTTACCTGCTGAAGCAAGGACTGAACTTGTGATCCAAAAATTTCAGATGAAATGTGTAACTGAGTATGGTTTTCCTTTATCCATTGTATCTGATCGAGATGTCAGGTTCACAAATATGCCATGGCAAAAGCTGATGGAGGCATACGGCACACGTTTGACCATGTCGTCAAAACGACACCCTGGAACGAATGGGCAAAGTGAACAAATGAACCGATTGTGCCAACAGCTCTTGCGCATGTATGTAAGACCTGATCAAATTGATTGGGATGAGAACTTAACCAAGATAGCCAGTGCATATAATAGCAGTGTCCACACCGCTACAGGACGAATGCCTAACACACTGCACAAGGGATGGAAACCTAGGCGTCCCATTGATGTGTTAACACGAGACCAATTCCTTAGGCTACCTCCAAGGACACGAGAATATGCAGTTTTATTTCAAGAAGACATAAAGAAAGTAAAAGAAATCTTAAAGAAAGCTCAAGACCAAATGATTGAACAAGCTAATAAGTATAGACGACCATCCACATTCAAAGAGGGTGATCTGGTCTGGGTTACATCCAAAGAGTTTTCATTAGAAGAAGATGTATCTCAAAAACTGTTTCCTGTCTACTTTGGACCCTGGGAAGTTCTCAAAGTAATTGGAGATGCAGAGGGACCGTTTTATGAACTTTTACCGCATTTATATTCCCCCTCATCTCAAAACATATCCTATCTTTCTTGTGTCCAAATTGTTGCCCTATGTAGAAGGGAAAGAATTTCCTAACATACAATCGATGATTTCGCCATCTATGGAAGGCAGATATGAAGTAGACAGAATCAAAGAGCATGGATACTTCTCTACGGGAGCACGTGGACAACCTCAAAAGCAGTTCAAGGTACGTTTTAAGTCTCCGGCACCATCCGAGGACAGATGGTCTAGTAAAAGAGAACTACTTGAAACTGCTCCTGATATTGTTGTTGCTTATGAATTTCTGCGGTGGAACTCGAAAATGGGCCGACAGGAATGCAGTAACCCTGTTCAGAAGTAGTCTGGGGCCCAGAACTCAGCCCCAAGCAACACAGACCAAAGTTGGTCTGCGTTGGGCTGTGTGACCAGGACACGCCCATGCTTGAGTCTGTCGTGTTTGGCTGTGTGACCAAACGCTGCACCCAGGAAAGTCACGGGTCAAAGTCAACTGTAGAGTCAAAGGTACCGCGCCCAGGCCCTTGGTTGGATACACTCACTTGTTGTGCGCAGGTACCCAGACAAGCATCCAGGCCGAAGGGAAATCAGTTTCAGGCCAATCTGGCCTTCGTTTGCATCAAGATCTGGACGGCTAAAGGTTGCAGCATCCGGGGTCCAGACCCCGAGTCAACGCCACTTAAGCGTAGACCTCCCTGGCTTTGACATTCATTCTGTCTTGCGTTGAGGCTGACGTCACGCGTTGACTTCAACGCTGGGTCGACGCCACGATGCTGGCATTGTGATTCGGCGAGGCGCTGCTGGTCCGGCATGGTGGCTGGCTTGCACCTGTCTTCTTGGCATGCTGACGTGGCAGCTGCCATGCGCTGTCGCTGATGTGGCTGCTGCCACGTGTATCATTGGCTGACGTGGCTGCTGCCACGTGTTCTTCTGTTCGCTGACGAAGCGAAGCTACGTGACTTGTATTGCTGTTCTGATTATCGTCATTCGGAAGGAGATCGGGACTGCGGAGAGATCGTGGATATGTACCTGGTTGTCTTCATGTCAACATTGCTCCAGCATTGATGAGGGACTGATTACACGTGCCACGTGGCACATTGAGGTTACTTCAGATACTCGTTCAGACTATTGATTATCGAGGTGGTGATTGACGAGGGAGCCCGAAGCAGGAGTGGGCCTTGTATCTCCTTTGTCTAATCTCCCTCCTCTCTCCTTCGTCTGTGTATGATTATCTCATCTCATTCCGTCTGGACACGATTTTGACTATTGGTAATCATCAGCTGGTTGACATTCATCTGGGCTTGCACTGTTGACGACTGTCTTCACGATCTGGGTTCATTGCATAGTGCTGGGCCTATATTTTCCCAAATTTGCAGATATGTCCCTCACGAGTTTCCCCTACAGGTAGGTCTCTCGGTTAGCCCTCAGCCAAACAAAATTACGAATCTGTCCTACCTATGGTACAGCCTCGATAGAGAGAGGCTACAGGCGACCAGAAACAGCAAGTCATTGCACTTTCCTGGCTATGGTGGACGTCATCTTCGTCACCTGGTGGGCACTGCATCTGGAAGGCCCCCGTTTGGGGTAGAGCTACACCAAGAAGCTTTGAGGCAGAGTCGGGCATGGCATCCTAAGTGGAAGCAGCCCTATCTGTCTTTTGCACATCAGGGCAGGGCCCTAGTAGTTCGACATAGCCTCAGCCTATGAAGAGGAAGAAGAGGGTGGCCATGGCTATGGTGGACCTCAAGTTGTGATGGCAGTGGACGCCATCTTCGTCACCTGGTTGGCACTGCATCTGGAAGGCCCCCGTTGGCGTAGAGCTACACCAAGAAGCTTTGAGGCAGAGTCAGGCATGGCGTCCTAAGCGGAAGCAGCCCTAGCTGCTTTGTGTTGTCTTTTCACTCGTCAGGGCAGGGCCCTAGTAGTTCGCCATAGCCTTGGCCTATGAAGAGGAAGAAGAGGGCGGCCATGGCTATGGTGGACCTCAAGTTGTGCTGGCAGTAGAAGAGGGATTTGGACATTGATTCGGGTTCTGCCATTCATCATTACTATTGTTATTTATTGTTTCAATAAGAGGGGAGGAGAAAAGGAGGAGGAGAAGGAAAGATGCAGCCGGACAATCGACAACTCTGCCACGCCATCGGATCAAGTGTGGGCATCAATGAGACTCCTCGTTGAGACTGACATCCGATGTCAATGGAAGAAGGTCAAGCACCAAATTCAACAGGACCCGGACAAGCAACAAGAGATGATAGCCAAGTACAGGAGGGTGTGGATAGTCTACGGGAAGATAGCAGAAATCCATACTTTACAAATCAGGTGGAAAAACTGGCACAACTCGGTTACCCCCCAAGGAACGAGGGACCTCCTCCAAACTAGTCGACATGATCTCAGGACTACGTGACACCTCTGGGACACACTCAGCGAGCGGCGGCCGGCAATCCCCCACACCCACGAAGGGACTTCAGTGTCATAGGAGGCGGACTAGGATCCCATCAACAGCTTGTCTCTTTCTCCTTGTTTTATTGGTATTATCTGGCAGGTTTCAGTATGGAACTTGAGCGGGAACTCGGAGACAGGCAAGCTGACAGTAAATCCTCCTTTAAGGAGCAATCAATGGTAGTCAGGGATCCTTCGGCCATACGAAAGGATGCGTGACTGGGTTTTGTGATGTATTCATTATTGACTTGCCGGTGGAGTAGGCACCGAACTGACGCTCCCCAGAATGGAAAAGGAGGCAGGGCCATAAGAACCTGTTTTTTTTTTTTTAGAGGAGGAGGAGATTGGAGTGGGGAGAAGGGGAATTAATAATTATCATTGGTCTTTGCTGGTGTACATCTTCTTCTTCTTCTTTCCCTCTCTCTCCTCTCAAGTTCACTCACTTCTTTTTGCAATTGGACGACATTGTACTTTCTCGTGTTTTGCACTTCAAGACTGACCAGCATCATATCAGCTACATATAAAGGAAGTTCAGGATGAACACAAATATATTTGAGACAGAGTCATCAGGAACTGGGGGGAGAGCAGAGAAACTCGTAGCAGTTATGTTCATAAGATATGCCATATAAATACAGACCTCCAAATTATTGTCTGCATAGAGTAAACTAAACATCCAGGCAAAACTGCGACACTCCCACTCATTCGTCCCGGAGGCAGCATTGGGCAGGGACGTACATACCATCTTCCCATCGACACGCTCCATGCACTCAAAGCTTTTCTTCCTTGTTACTGCAGCAATACGCAGTGCCTCATCACGGCATGGAACATCTGACTCGCCATCACAGTTTCTCAGCCCACTAGCTTTGTGGAGTCCTTGTCTAGTGCCACGAGAGTAACTTCTCCTGTTCCCTTCACTCAAGAGCAGACCTTCCCTGATCTCTGCCTTTGTCACAGGCTTGTTGACCAAACTGATCACATTTGCCCACGTTCTCTTTTCCACAGCATTTTCACTCTGCACACACCCCGTACCGCCATACATGCTGGGCGATGTGTCAACTCGGAGTGTCTTCACCACCTCCGCAGCTTTCCCAAGTTTTTCCTGTCTCTCATTTCTCCCCTCCTCCCTCCAGTCAACACCCTGCTCTCTTCGGTCTCTATGTTTCTCCATAGCGCCTGACATGACTGATTCATATTCACCAATCGCTCCCCAATCCCATCTTCCAGCCAGCTTTGCACCAGAGGTTACAGACACAGCAAAAACTTCTGGCCCTTTCCCTAGAACAACACCAGTTTTATCCTCTTTCCCCTTGAAGTCCTCACCACAACAATTCCCTTCATCACTACACATTTCACGAGTCACCAGCTTACACTGGTGAACATCCTGATCTCTGGCATCATCTCGCAGTTCACCTGGATGTTTGCCTTTCTCTTGCACTGGATTGAACTCACATCCAGCCCCGTTGTCACTTTTTCTCACTCCATTCCAGCTCGATATATGCCCATCTTCCTCAAAACTCTTCAGGTCATCCTGTCCTGAAGACAACTCCCCATCTCCATCATGGCACACTTTCTGTGGAACCGGGTCTTCACATCCCGTAAACCGATCAGCTGCCTTCTCCCAATCGTCATCATCATCATCTTCCATCTTTCCATTCGGATCCCCCTCTTCTGCAACACCGTTCTTCCCTCTGGCATTCCTGTCTTCTGCAGCCCTAAGTACACAGCAGTTAGCTTTCCCCCTCATCATACGTACAATGCCAGCATCAGCTTCTCTGCCTTCTACTCTACCCATACCTGCCCGATGAACATCTTCCACCCGACATGCTGCCACTTTACTCAAGGGCCTGATTCCAATGTTCCCTGATGCCAGCAATGACATTGACGATGATTCAACCTTACGAGCCACTGACGAAACCTCCTCAGCAATAGAGCCGGGAAGCGCATCTGCTGCATCAGACAAGAAAAAGAAAAAAAACATCAATATTGCTTCCTTCATCCTCGGAAGAATACTTAGCCCAGGTAGGTCCACAGTCATTCAGCCCCAAATCTCCATACTGACGCATTCACTTTCCACCGTAGTTCCTTACATCCCACACAGTCCCATTAATATACTTGAAAGAAAACCGTTTGTGCTTCGATTGGTTCTTCATTAAATAATTCAAATACAACCCTGTGGCCAACGCCCAGAACCTTCTCCCGAGGGTAGCTGTGGAAGTGACCGCATGTGTCATAGACGGGGATGGCAAGATGGGCGTTCCCCCCAAACACCCTTCACCACAAGCTCATCCTCTTCATGTTCATTTTGTCATCCCCCTCTTACCTTTCACAGTGATAGCCATTGTCTACTCCTTGAGTCCTTTCCCTTCATGCCATCGTCATTCAGTCGTCATCATCATCATCGTCATTCAGTCGTCATCATCATCATCATCATCATCATGCAGCCCATGCTCTTCATTGCAATTGTCATCCTAGTCCCTCCCTGCCTCCTCCTCCGGATCCTGAACTTTCTTCTCACAAAACAACTCAACTTCCCCCTCTCCTGCTCCTTCATCGACATCCCCCTTCCCTATGTTCCCTCCTCATATAAAGACCAAGAACATGGAGTTTGGCACATATTTTAGAACTCAAGAAACCTTGATCTGAAGAGACTAGAAATTTCAGAAACCCCACAAATGAGTGACAGCAACTCTGAATAAGGAGCGTGCAATCTAGTTTCACTGTGAAACAAAGTCTTCCCTCATCGTCTTCGTGCTTGAATAAAGTGACAGCAACTCTGAACAAGGAGAATGCAATCTAGTTTCACTGTGAGACAAAGTCTTCCCTCTCTTTGCTATGTTCGTTTACAATGCGTTTGTCGGGGACACATAATGAGTTACTCACTCCAATGGACCTCGCTCTTGAGAGGGGGGTAGTGAAATGACCTGCCAAAGAGGGACTGAGACACACAGCTGATTTCAGAGTTTTGTTCATAGAATGTATGCCTTACTGAGTTTCCCGCTTGTTGCTGAGTTTTCTAAGTCGGTAGGGTGCGTGCTTGCTGGTCTGCATGCCTGTCTGAGTGCCTGTCGGCTTGAGAGTGTGTGTGACCGCAAGGGTACTTGTTTGTTCAGAAGGCCCGAAGGGCCCGTACATACCTGTGGCCGAAACACTCGAGTGGCGGGGAAAGAGGCCGGCGACACTTAACAGCAGCGGAAAACACTCAAGTAGCAGGTAGAGCGGTACCACACCAAGTAGAGGTAGATGTGCCAGGTACTAGAGGCCGAGAGGAAGAAGACAAAAGTTGGCATTTTTAGAGGCCCAGTAGTTGTAGGCTATGTCTAAGCGGGTACCAGTCCAACCAGTGTCTAGGGCCTGTACGGGCAATATCAGAGTCTGCAATGATGTTTCCCTCAGAAAGGGAGGCGGTGTCGGGCGGCCCAAGCCTGACGCCGCCCTTTACTTCCTTCAAAGAGACTACCGCTGAAGGTTGGATTTCACGCGGCGGTCTTTCCGGTGTGCTTTTGTCCAGCAACCCAAGCCCGCAGAGACGACTGACGAATGGTGGTTGGACGATATGGGAAAACCAGGCCCGAACTAGACTGTGGCGGAATGCGGACCGACGGGGGTGGTTTTTCCCTGGAATCGACAGTTGTCAGATGAATTATTATTTTAATTGAAAACAGGGAATTTTAATACGAGACAGCGACGTGCCGGTCAGGTGGCTGAAATTGCAGCGGCCGTTGGAATATAGCTACCGGAGGGCGGCATCTTACAGGCTCGCGCCAAGCATTCCGTGCCTGCGGGTCGAATAGGAGACGAGACCGACGGCGGAAACCCGGGGATATGGGAAAAGGGCCCTCAGGCCGTGAGTTTATTTCCAAGGCCGGGTCCGCGGAAACTGGTGAGGTCTTGATACTTTCCGCGTGGGAACCACTAGGGCCTGAACAGGCTCGGGCTCAGGCTCGGAAAGAACCACGGTACCAGGGCGCTGCAAAAGGCCCGATACCCGACAAAAAGGCCCTCTCCGCGAGAAAACCTTTCGGGGGCCCAAATAGGCTCGGGCCTAGGTTTTGGAGGAGGCTCAGTACCGGGGGCGCTGCAAGTTTCTCAACAGCGCGCCCGACCCTTGGTGGTACCAGTGGGCTGGAGGCTGCGGCTGCTGTTACCATTGGGCCCGGCAAAGTACTTAAGCTGAGCGGGGCCTATTCGGGGGGGACTTTTCCGATTGGCGGGAGAGAGAGACACACGGGGAACTGGCGCACGGGCTAGTCCACAGAGGGCTAGCTCACGCAGGCTTGAGGGCGTGCGCACGAACGGGGAGGAGGAGTCCGGGCTTGCGCGGGGGGCCGGGCACACAGGGTGTGCTGGCCTACACATGAGTCAGGAGCTGGAAATGGGATGGGAAAGGACTAACGAAGGGAAGGCTGAACTTTGGGCGGGCTGGAGGACGGTCTGGCGCTCTTCCCTCAGCGCTCGAATTGGAACACGGTCGCACCCACGAGCGCACAAGTGGGTGCTCCTCCTTCCAGAGAACGAACTCGGGCCAGAACCGGGCCAAATTCACGATCAAGAGTTTGTGCGTTCCCACGAACGTGCTAGCTAGGGTATGCCCTTACAGATGCTGCGAAGGAGGGAGGCTGATGATCGTGCCCACCATCAAGAGAAAAGGGACGCGTGGCTGAAGAGAGAGCTTGCAGAGACAAGGAGAGAGAGGATGCGCAGGTGGGAAACCGAGCGAACAACTCGGAGAGAGGAAACGAGAGGATAGCAGCGCGAGGATAGCAGGGTACGGTAGCGAATATAGCGCGCGGGTAATCAGAAGCGCGAGAGGTAATCAACAGCGCGCAAGTAGGAAGTGTTATGCATACGTGCGGGAGAGAAGAGGCTGCGCGGAGAAGCGGGGCTTGTGCGGGGAAAAACTGCTGCGTCGTGATTGATTTGCTGCGCCGGAAAGAGGAAACTGCGCGGGGGAAACTGCCACGCAAGGAGAGCTACAGCAGGCGGGAAAAAGGCCTGTGCGAGCGATAGCTGCCGTGCGAGCGCGCGCGCGCGCGCGAGAGAGAGAGAGAGAGAGAGAGAGGGTGAGAGAATCAAGCGCGGGAAACGGCGGGAGTGACTATGGCCCGCTTCAGCAGCTAAATGCCTCGTCATCTAATTAGTGACACGCATGAGGTAGAGAGAGAGAGAGAGGGAGAGAGAGAGACATCCCATACTGGACTAAGACCGGGGTGAGTTTACAAGAACATGAAAACCGCCATTGAAGACAGAATATGTGGTTGTGCTCCGCGAATTCCAAAACTGCCACTGAGCAATGGCTAAATTCCATAAATGCCACTCTCAGTTGCACTACGAAAATTTCATGGTTCTCTCAATTGTTTTCTCTTCCCCGCCCACGCCCGTACTTGGAGAAGTGACGGAGACACGGATCCACACATTCACACACACACTCGCAGACTGGCGTGGAGCCAACAGGACAACACACGCAGTACTCGTGAGAACAGCGAAAGTGGAGATAACAAAGAGAGAGTGCGATGCTTGCTGCTGGGACTTTGTCACCACTTGTGGGGCAGGACTGAGACAGCACACGTCCGGGGGACGAAAGTGCATGGATCCGGACGAATTTTTGGCTACCGTCATGTACAGGAACGAGCGACACTTGATTGTCGTTGCTCGCAAAACATATGCTAGTACAAAGATTGAAAGACAAATTGGGGCACACGCATCTATCCCCTTCCTCTTCAACTGTGTATGGTACGGGCTGGCGCTGTCTTCCTGTGTGAAGCGCCAGGCCCATTCACACCATGTAAAGATGATGATGATGCATGTTCAGGGCTGCATTACAACATTGACTGTTCGGATCACTGGTATCTAAGTCTTCCATTGTGCTATCTTATACTTTGTATTGAAAGGTCGGTTCTTGTTCTGGTCTGCCCGTTACAGTATGCAACAGTTTGGTATCGGAGCGGACCTCTCATTCAGAGGACCCGCTCAATCAAGTAGCCAGCTTGCGATCTATTGATCACTCATTAGTAACGCAAGTAGGACTTAGTCAAATCTCTG